AAGGGATTGTCGTCTTGTTTACAGCTATGTGCTCACACAGAATGGAGCTTATTATATGGCATTAAGAGTATCTGTTGAAAAAAAAAAAAAAAGAGTATCTGTTGACACCGGGTGTTTTAATCGCAGCACTCGAGAGGCAGAAGCAGGTGGATCTCTGTGAGTTTGAGGCCAGCCTGGTCTACAGAGCGAGTTCCAGGACAGCTTCCAAAGCTACACAGAGAAACCTTGTCTCGAAAAAAAAAAAAAAAAAGAGTATATGTTGAGGGCTGAAGAGATGGCTCAGCTGTAAAGAGAACTTACTGCTCTTGTAAAGGACCTGGGTTTGGTTCCCAGCACCCACATTGGGGACTTACAATTAACTGTAACTCCAGTCCCAGAGGATCACTTTCTCTGACCTCTGCAGGTACCATACACATACATATAAAATATATAAATTTTTGAAGTGTTTAACACAATACCTGGTACACAGTAACTCTCAAAGATAAGTTGTCATTGAGTATATATATAATCATGCTTTTTGCTAGTTTCATTCAGTTCATCTTAGTTTACTTTGTAGAGAACCTCCAGTGATGTACTCATCTAAACTGGTTTGAACACATGGTAGTTGTCGAGAACAAGCATACTTGCTGCATCCCGAGTCACTTAGCATTTTCTTCCTGTCAGGGCCTGGGTCTCCTAAACCTATTTTCACCAGAGGAAAGTCAAGATAAGGTAAATCTGTTACCTCTACTTGAAAAATGACTTAAATCATGTGTTGTATTACTGATGTGTTTTTTTAAAAAATCAGCTTTACATGTGACATGGCATGTGTGCCTTAGAGGACTTACAGCTTTTTAAGAACTACCTATAAGTTTGATTTGTTAACTTCTTATTGATCTTTAGTCTGAAATGGATCAGAACGTCTATGGAGATGTAACTAGAAGAAAAATGCTATCATAAATAGAGAATACAGATAGATCTACCATCTGTTAAAAACCTTTGGACTCTTGAGAATTCCAGAATTTTTCAGATTGATAAGATATTGTGATATCACATGCTGTATTATGTGATACCCCTAAAAGGGATTTGGGTAGCTCCTAGTAACCAGACATTAACATTTCTCTAATAAATACAGTGAGTACAGTACCCTTACCATTTAAGTGAGGAGGAAAAAAAAAATGTTAAGTGAGTAATGGAGAAACTATTAGCTTTACATCTGTTGAGACTAGCCTTTGCTGCCAAATTAATTTCTTAAGACTTTTATAGCCTTGAAAGTTTTTGATTTGGAGGGAGGTGAAATGTATGCACATAAATGATTAGATCTCATTCCTACTAAAAAAAAGTGCTGTAGAAATTCTTTAAGATGTATTTATTCATTTATTTTACATATATGTGTATGTATGTGTACATGAGGGTGCACGTGAAAACCAGAATGTTGGGGGTGGAGAGATAGCTCAGAGGTTAAGAGCACAGACTGCTCTTTCAGAGGTCCTGAGTTCAATTTCCGGCAACCACATGGTGGCTCACAACCATCCTTTATGAGATCTGGTACCCTCTTCTGGTGTGCAGATACACATGGAAGCAGAATGTTGTATACATAATAAATAAAATTAAAAAAAAGAAAAGAAAACCAGAATGTTAGGTTCCCTGGAACTGGATTACAGGTGCTTATAAGCCTCCTGAGTGGGTCCCAGGAGCCAAACTTGAGTCCTCTGCAAGAGCAGTAAGTCCTCTTAACCCCCCAAGCCATCTCTCCAGTCCCTAGATTTTTTTTTATTAATTTTGAACTTTAGACCAATGTTCTCTAACAATGTGTGACTGTATTTAGTTAATTGTAAATATGAAGTAGACAGAATTTTAACATAAAAGATCTGTAGGCCAAAAATTGTTCAAATCCTTTATAATAACCTGTTTCATCATTTTTCTTGTGTTTTCTTTCAAGTTTGTGATTAAGTTAAAATGTTTATATTGTTGTTGCTAGAAGATGTTGATACCATTTTATTCTGGAAGGTCAAGGTCTGATGTTGGATGACTTTAAATAATCATGACTGGAAATCTTTTGTTTCTTTTCAAGACAGGGTTTCTCTGTGTAGCTTTGGAGCCTATCCTGGCACTCGCTCTGGAGACCAGGCTGGCCTTGAACTCACAGAGATCCGCCTGCCTCTGCCTCTGCCTCTGCCTCCCAGTGCTGGGATTAAAGGGGTGCACCACCAACACCCAGCTTTTGTTTTGTTTCTTAATAACAGTACAAAGGACTGGAGAGATGCTCCATCTATGAGCACTGGCTGCTCTTTCAGAGGACCCAGGTTTGGTTCTCAGTACCCCAGATAGTGGATAAAAACTGGCTGTAACTCAAGTCTCAAGGAATCCAACAGGCTCTTTTATCCTCCAAAGGCACTGGGTATGCATGTAGTGCTCAGACACATATGCAGCGAAAATACCCATGCACGTATAAAAAATATTAAACTTAATTTAGTTTAAAAAATTTTTTTAATGAAATTCCTTCTTTCCATAGCATGCACTGTTGTGTGGAATTCTTATTGTTCCAAGGTATGCTGTGTTTTCATTGATTTGTAAGGGACCGTCTTTTCATGTTTTAAGAGTTTGGAAGGCAGCATGAGTTACATATATAGTTGGCTCTTTGTAGTGTACTATGTACTTTCACAGCAGAATGTCAAAACTTGTGGAGAGAGGGCTGGTGAGATGGCCTAACATCATGAACCAACTCTTGAAAGTCTTCCTCTGACTTCTACAAGTGCACTGTGGCATACATGCAGACTCAATATTTTAAGCTTGAAAGAAAATAGAGATACATTGGAATACCCTTTGGACCCTGAGGAAGTAAATAGTTACAGAAAAGTAGAAGTAAAATACGGTTCTCCATGTCGCAAATCCAGCCTGGTATTAGTTTGCTTACGGATTCTTTCACAGAGTGTTTCATTACGTTCATGTCTATTTATTTTGAGACAAGGTGGTGTTCCTGTATGGCCCAGACTGGCCTTAAACTTGTGATGCTCTTTCCTCATTCTCCCAGTGTTGGGATTACAGGCAAATGTCACCACACTACCAGCATCATCACCCCATTACTAGTCTTTTTTTTTTTTTTTTTTTTTTTTGAGGTTTAACTAGGAACTTGTGTCTTTTTTTTCTCTCCATTTTTTATTTAAATTAGAAACAAGATTTTTCAATCCCATTTCCCTCTGCTCGTCCCTTACCCCCTCCCATTTCTTGATACTTTTTTTTTTTTTTTTTTTTTTTGAGACTGGGCTTACTAAGTAATCCTGGCTGGTCTGGAACCTGCACAGAGTTGCCTGTCTGCTTCCCAGGTTTTAGGATTCAAGTTATGTGCTGCTCAACCTAACCCTCTGTAGAAACAGACATTATCAGATCTGAGTCAAAAATCGATTTGTAAATGCCTGGTTCTGAATATGAAGTACTTTGATAATACCTTAGCTGATTTGTCTTATTCATATTTTCCATTTTATATATATGAGAGGCAGTGTATAATAGAAATAAAAATTCCATGTCTAAAAGAATTCTTTGGTTTTGCTGCTGCTGCTTGATTAACAGTATATCACTGCCCTAGCTGGTCTGGAATTCTATTTATGCCAAGCTGACCTCCAACTCTTAGAAATCCATTTGCTGTAGCATCCCGAGTACTGAGAATAAAGGTGTGCACTACTGTACATAGCCAAAAGGATTTTTTTTTCAATAAGCAGAAGAAAACAAAGTTAAAAGAAAATGTACCATAACTTAAGTGTTTGTTGTTTGGTTGGTTGGTTGTTGAGCAGAGGCACTGGGTAAAGCACAGGGAATGGAGTTCTTTTTCTAAGAACCCACATAAAAGACTGGAGGTGGGTTTGCTGGCTGCTTTGTGATCCCAGTGCAGAAGGTGCAGGCAGTCTCTGGAGCAAGCTGAACCACTGAGTTGAGCAAGGGGCTTTGCCTGAATATGTAAGTGGGGAGGGACTGGGGAAAGAAACCTGACCTTAGACTTCTCAGTGCTCTGACACACACACAGACAAACCCATACACATGGAAAAACAAACTTTCCTGTGTGTGTGTATACTCGTGTGCGATGTTGAAATGCAGAGTATTAATAAAGTGATTAAGTGACTGTTTTAAATGAAATGAGATTAAATGAATACCATTGTGCCCATTATGGTGGCACATGCCTTTACTCCCTGCAGAGGCAGGTGGATTCCTTGAGCTTGAGGCCAACCTGGTTTACATAGGGAATTTCAAGCCACCCATAGCTACCTAATAAAACCCTGCCTCACCAAAAACAAAATGATGTGTGTGTGTGTGTGGGGGGGGGGGGGGGGTGGTGGGTGGCAGGAGCTTTTGGGGGCCCTTTTTCCCCCCCTTTCCAGAATTAGTTTTTTTCCCCCCCCCCCACTCCCATGGGTTTTGTTGATTCTTTCTTTTTATGTAGATCTTTGACTCCAGATAGTAATTGTCAGTAGATAGTCTTAGGAGCATAACATAGATAAAAATTCTAAATTTTCTTTCAGAAATTGCTCTTTACTATTCTGTAAGACCAAGGTAGATGGCAGTGTTATGATAGATTGTTAGATATGGACATTGAAATGCAGAGACCTCATACAAATTCTCATAAAGCAATGCCTTTTCCTTCTCACTCTGAGCACAGATAAGAACTAGAAGGGCTGTAGCAGCTGTTGGGCCTCCCATTTTCTCAGTCTGGCTTTTCCCTCATGTAGATATTTCTCATGGAAGTCTTAGGTATGTTTTTTTATTATAGTAAGAAATTTTACATTTCTTCTCGAAGACACATTTGAGCAAATACTGTTGAAAATACAATTCAAAATGACTTCACAAGTGCTAGCCATATCTCAGAAAGCAGATGTTATGAACCTCTGACATTTTAATCTCCACTGTAAGATGGTACAGGTATCTTTGTACTCATGTGAGCAGAAGAGCCTTTGTAAGTTGTTAATTGTCCTAGTGCTTGCTTTACTGCCATGGGAATTCAGTATGAATCTGTTTTTTTTTTTTAATAGGCTGGTGCATTGGATTTGCTGAAAGAGCTTAAGAATATTCTCATGACTCTGGAATTATTACAGGTATGTGCTTCTATGTATCACAGTGTTTAAATTGGTAATTGCCATAAAATAATGGATCATCTTCATTATCAATAACATGCTTTTAACTATTTTATAGAATAGATCATTATTTAAGATCAGCCAATTGTCATAAATTATATATACCTATATATAAATAAATATATAATAAAACAAATTATGTGTTTCTCAAAGAACTTTCCAAGGTTTTGTGGTCATGAGATGTCACTATAAGGGGTGCCCCTGGATTCCTGACCGTGGTTTGGTCTTTCAGCATTTCACTATAGCTTAGTATAGGGATAATGGAGAATCACTACTCTTCCATTTACAGCCTCAGCCATACATGCAAACAACTGAATGTCACTAGAATGATTACTGAAGTCTAGGTGTTCATTCTAATGTAGAAAAGTAAGTCAAAATGTTAAAAAGTAAAGTAAGGCTGGGTGCTGTTGGCTCACACTCGGGAAAAAGAGGCAGGTGGATCTCTGAGTTTGAGGCCAGCCTGGTTTACAAAGCAAGTTCCAGGGGAGCCAGGACTGTTGCACAAAGAAACCCTATCTCAAAAAACCAAGGGAAAAAAAAGGGGGGGAGGAAAGTATGGGCAATAAACATGAATGTAGCCTTTTCCAATAGACATACCTTGTTGTTCATGAGCATTCTTCCTTGATGTTTCTGTTTCATTAAGTCAGAATTCAAGAAAGAATTAGAACGGTGAGTGAACCTCACTGGGAAAATCTATGTTAAGGAATGTCTAACTGAAACAGCATTTATAAAGATGATCAAACTAAAGCCATTTACGACTGTAAAAGAAATCACAAAATATTTTCATTTCCATTAATTTACATTATTACAGATGTATTAAAATTCATTTGCTCATCCTGATGGCTGCTTATGTTCCGTACTCCATCTTAATGCTTTAATAAGGAAGTGAGTGTATTACTGTACTTACTATAGTTGCTTTCCTTTGCAGTCTTGTATGTTTTATTTAATGTGCTTTAAAGCACTTCTGAAGAAAATGTTTCACCTGATCGCTAAAAAGATCTAGAGTAGAAAACAAAACCAAATAAAAAGAACTTTATATGCAGATTCAAGGAAGAGGAAGCTGCCCATGAAGTTGAAATTCTGGGTTCTAGGATCAGCAGCCATTTCCTTTTGGCTATTACCTTACCTCCTACCTAGGTGTAACCCTTCTTAGCAGAGTTAGTAGGCTCATGTGGGGAAAATACATTGAACAATTTTAGTGATCTCAGCATGTAATTAAGAGATGTGTAGAGTTGTAAAAGTATGGAGACTAGGTAGGGTTTGCATTTCTATCCACGTCTAATTTTTTTTTCTCTTCAGTCTAATTATATAACACATACTTGAAGTTTTATTATGGCTGGATTTGTGAATGTCAGTAAATTAAAATCTTTCTCCCTCTGAACTCAAAGCCTAGGAGAAGAAGTTGTATTTAAAAAGAACAGCCTAGGTACCCAGGTAATACGTGGATAGGGTCAGAGTAGAAAGAAGTTTACTGTTTTATAAAGTTTTATTATTTTATGTGTGTGGATGTTTTGCCTACATGCTTGTCTGTGCACTGTGTGCCAGAAGTGTTGGGGGGAGAGGGTTAAGATCCCTTGTAACTGCAGTTAACAAATATTTGGGCACCACCTTGTGGATGCTGGGAATTGAACTTGGGTCCTCTTCAAAAGCAACAAACGATCTTAACCACTGAACTATCTCTCCAGCCCTAGAAGTTGATTTCTTGGCTTAATGAAAGAAGCTCCAGAAAGCCTTCACGAAGGTGGTCTCCAAAAACATTCAGGTTCTCCCTCAGCAGAAGTAGCATGAGGAAGCAATATGGCATGTTGGGTAGTACAGGGCAAGGAAAAGCTAGAGGCAGGTTGGCATAGAGCTTCATATACTCTTAAGAGCAGTACTGCCTGAAGGTGTTAGGAGAGTATATAACCAGATCTGCACCTTGAAAGACAGAAGACTGGCTGACTAGTGGGGTTATTCAGGTGAACTCTGATAGGGAAGTCAACAGATACTGACAGTAAAAGTAGAGAGAAGAGGATTTAAGAGGGTTATAGGCTGTGAGATATTTCTCTATGTAGCCCAAGGTGGCCTGGAACTCTGAATCTTCCTGCCTCTGCCTCCCAAGTAGAATGTACCACCATGGACAGCTTCTGTCAGTGTTATCTTAAATATGATACCTAAGACACAAGCAACCATAAATGTAAATAATTTACATCAAAATGTAAAACTTTTATGCTTAAAAATATCATTAAGAAAGTAAAAAGATAGACATGGTGGTTCATGCCTATAACTCAGGGCTGAGACAGAACTGTTTGGGGGCGGTGTTACATGCTCAGTTATGTATAAGGTCCTGTATTCAATGCCTGGAGGATAATGGGAAATACTATTTTCAAATCTTACCTAACAAGGATTATATTAAGAGCTACTACATGGCACTAAGTAAGAAACAATCCAGATTAAAAGTGGCAAAGGAAGACATTCCTCCAAATAAAATGGAGAAAAGACACTAATCCCAACATGAAGGCCGTGGTACCAGGAGAGTTTCTGAGTTTAAGTTCAGCTTGGGATACATAGGGATGACCCTGACTCAAAGAAAAACAAAGAAGGAAAAGCCAGCTAGCACGTTAGAAGATACTCCGCATCACGGGATCCTTAGCCACATGGAAAGCCACACCACATTTAAATCCTTACTCCATGCTCCTTAGAATGCATATAGCCAAAGATCCTAGCACCTGCTAGCAAGGATATAGAGAAACTGGAGCCCTTACATACTGCTACTAAGAAAGTATGTTAAATAGAATTTCTAATGATGTATTGATTCTATTCCTAGTTGTGTGTGTGTGTGTGTGTGTGTGTGTGTGTGTGTGTGTGTGTAACAATGGAATATTAATTCACCTGTGAAAAGGAGTAAAGTTTTGATATATTCTATAACACAGACAAATCTTGAAAACATGCTGAATGAAAGAAGCCAGACATATAAAGTCATGTATTACATGATTGCTTTTATAAGAACTCTTCTATACAGCAGGTATTGGTTGTATAGGGCAGATGGAAGGACCCATATAAGGGGATATGAAGAATGACTGTTAAAAAGTAGGCAGGGTTTTGGGGGGTGGGAAAGTAAAGAGTAACAGAAATGTTCAGAAATTCATTATGGTTAATGATAGGAAAATCCTTGCAATGTACTGGGAGCTGCTTGTCCTAGGGTTTCCATTGCTATGACAAACACTGTGACCTAAAACAACTTGGGGAGGAAAGGATTTAATTCAGCTTGCAGTTCCTGATCACAGTCCATGTTCATTAAATGGGTAATAAAAATGTGTTATAGTTACACATGAAGTGTTATTCAGATGGTAAGAAAAATGAAACTTGTCAGTAATTGTATTGATCTAGAAAAAAATCATCCCGAGTGAAGGTAACCTAGATCCCAAAAGACAAGTATTGCATGTTTTCTCTTATATGTGTTCCTCACATGACTCACCTACATCAGATAAGGTTCTTTTTGTAATACATGTTAGTTAACACAGAGACCCACAACTGGACAGTATGTAGAGCGAGAGACTTTGGAGTACTCAGTCCTGAACCAGTTGTCTTCATCAAATCCTTCTCAAGACTTGAGAGAGGAAGTGAAAAGATTGTTAGAACCAGAGGTGATGGATGACTCTAAGGAAACAGTGTCTTTCAGATACCAGAACTGATGCACATACTAACGCAAAGAGACTGGTAGCATGTACAGGTTCCGGCCAGGTGGGTGGGATCCTAGCACTGAGAAAGGGAAGTGGACACAGTCTTCTACCTTTAACCAAGAATTTATCTGCAGTTGGTACCTGGAGGGAAAGGGAAAGTCAGTCCCTCCCAATGGAGTGTGACTTGGGTACATCAACCACACTCCAGAGCAGGCCCTCTGTCTAAAAGTAGTTGGCCAATAGAAAATGATCTCTGGTGCTTTTGTGTACTCTTTATTACATTTTGTTTGTCATTATTGGTTTTATTAGTCTTTTGCCTATTTGTCTTGATTTTCACGTCTGTGGATTTTGTGCAATTTTTGTTTAGTTTTTGGGTTTTAGAGAGAGAGAACATAAAGTTAGGTGGGTAGGGAGGTAGAGAGCATCTGGGAGAAGTTGCAGGATAAGGGAAAAAGATAAGCAAAAAATTATATGGAAAAAATTTAATTACTCAATTAGGAATATAGCATTTGCCTAGCACATACAAGACTTTGGGTTCTGTCCCCAGAAACTGAAACAAACAAGCTGATTTGGAGCCACTTGGTCTAGGTGCAGTTCAATTCCTGAGTGCGCTTACTGTGCTCCACCACTCTTGTCTTCAGCTTAGTCCTCCTTTCTTTCCTCCTTGCCTTTTCTCCTGCATGCCTGATTTTAAATAGAAACCTTGGTAGAAGTTAGGTAATTGCTATAGTATCATAAGCCACTTTTTAAATCTTAGCATACCAGTTTAAGTCTTGTGAGAGAAATGCAAACCTAGTTAGTTGCCCAAGTAAATAGCTTCCTATTTGTTTCCATCCTCTGCTTCCTTCCATTTCCCCAAGCTGTGGTCTTTTTGTCACTCCACCTCAGCGTCCTGTTCTCCTTATGCAGCTCAATAATCTCTTTAAGGAAGCATGTTTATTGTTGACAGCTGCATTCTTAGAAAAGGAGTCAAGCAAGGAATGGTTGGTTTTAATAACGAAAGCATCCTGTGATCATTAAACAGCCATCACTTAACAGTGCAGTTTGTTCTCCTTATATTATGGTCTCCTGCAGGACCTTCTAGGATGCATTTTCCAACACTGTTGTGTGTCAGTCCACACTTCTAACAACTGAATAATTCAAGTTATTTCCTCCATGCATCCAGAGTTAGCTTTTCTTTAGAAAACTCGCTTTGTAACCCTAAATATTGGGGGTAGGTGTGGAAATTTTGGGGCCCCTTTCACTCTTCTGCTGTTGAACTTCACCTGCTTTTCTTAGATTTCTGAGAGACTAACACAGGCTACTGCAACCTACTATTCTAAATTCTTCAATGTTTGTGCTGAACATTTAATAATTTAGAAGGAAGCCTTTAAGTACCTACTGACTGTTGTACCTCAAAGGTGTCAGCAGGGATTTTCCTTTATTTTTTAAGCAACTAAGAATTTCTTTTATTGTGTTTTTCTTTCATAGACCATGTTTTGAAAGATTGTCTATAACAACTTGAACTTAATGAATAATTTACCATTGTTATTTACTGTTCATAATTGAGTTGTTATAGCTTTTATGGTTTCTACTGAGTTGGAAAGAACATTCATTCTAGAAGTGGTCAAGCACAGATGAAAATTCGAGTCTTGCCAGTGAGCAATCGTATAATGCTGAGCAGGTTATATTGGTATTTCCAGTCTCTTTGTCTTTAAAAATAGGTATAATGATCTCAGTGTTGAAAGGTTCTTGGGAAGATTTATATACCTAATTATTCTAGTATAATCTTAATATAATATTACTGCACGTTAAATTTTATCTGTATTCTGAAATCCATTTTAATACCTAATTATGTGCTCCTTACATAGAATCAAAAAATAAAGATGCCTCTTAATCTTCTCTTGGTGGTAGTTTGTGTTTGGCTGGCTTTGTTATAAGTTTCAGGCAGTGCTTGGGGGTAATCTTCGTAGGAGAGATCATGCAGATGCTGGCCATGAGTATCTCAGCTTACCTTCTGTACACATACGTTTTACATCTCGCCCTCATTTCCCCCTGATACCACATTACAGGTTGTTGTCTCAGTGATGAAGCATTGGTGAGTTCCATGTTTGATCTAAAGATGTATGTACTTCATGTTTGCAATGTGTGCTTTGACCAGAATGTGAACAATTGAAATTTTAAAATCTGAACTAGAAAAAAAAAAGTCTGAAAAGAAACAAGTGTGATTAATATGCTGAATTGTTTGAAACAGCATTGATGGACACTTTGTTGTTGCCTTGCAGTCCACGAGAATTGGGATGTCTGTCAATGCTATTCGTAAGCAGAGTACAGATGAAGAAGTCACATCTTTAGCCAAATCACTCATCAAATCCTGGAAAAAATTATTAGGTAAAATTGATCTTTGCTTGCATATATTTATGATGTCCTGGTTTTGTTCAAATGATTGCTGCATTTTTTTGTCTATGAATCTAGACCTAGTGAAATCAGTGCTTTGCAGTAAGGATGAGGGGCCTGGTTTAATTTGCATGAAAGTGGCAAATAAACTCAGTGGTCCCTGACAGTTGTAAGTGTAGATAAGCTCTTTCAGGGCTTTTTTCCAAGGGAAAGGTTGTGCATGCTTTCTGAAGTGATTTTGTTTTTCTGAAGTGATTTTAAAATAACACTTTTTATATAATACCTTTGTCCAGATCAGCTTTTGTTATTTTCCATCTTTTTCTTCTTTTTTTTTTTGGTTTTTGGTTTTTGAAGACAGGATTTCTCTTTGTAGCCCTGACTGTCCTGGAACTCACTCTATAGGGCAGACTGATCTGAAACTCAGAGATCTACCTGCTTCTGCTTCCTGAGTGCTGGAATTAGAGGCATGTGCTACCTCCACACAGTGTTTTTTTTTTTTTTTCATATTTAATGATCTCTTTTTTAAAAATCATTTGAGAGTAGGTTAAATATGTCTTATAATACTTAAGTATACCTCTCTTAGTACCCTTCATTTATTTGAGATAGGCTCCTACTATGTTGTATAAGCTGGCCTGGGACTTGGGATCCTGCTTCAGTCGCCAGAGTAGCTAGAATTATAGGCATGTGCTAGCATTCCCAGCACAAGCATATTTTCTCATGTAGTTGTAATAAAGGAAAGCAAGCATCGGTGTAATACTTTAGTTTAGAGTCCATGCTCTAGTTTGTTACTCTCCCTATGTACTTGTTAGTTTTTGCTAACTTGATAGAAGCTAGGGTTATCTAAGAAGAGGGAACCTCAACTGAGAATATGCCACCATAAGATTGACCTGTATGCCACTGTGTGTGATGTTTTCTTGATTAATAATTAATGTGGGAAGGTCTGACCCACTGTTGGTGACACCACTGAACAGGTGATCCTGGGTTATAAAAAAAATCAAACAGCCTTGGGGAGCAAGCATTCCTCCATAGTCTTTGCTTCATTTCATGATTCTTGGTTCTTACAATGCTTGAGTTCCTGCCTTGGCTTCCCTCAGTGATATATGGTAAGCCAGATAAACCCTTTCCTACCCAAGTTGCTTTTGGTTGGTGTTTTATTACAGCAACAGAAAAGCAAGCTAGGATACATTATAATGTCCTAAATTTACCTCCTCTAATATCCAGTCTAGAATCATGTTTAGTTTTCTAAACTGAACAATTCTTTAAGCCTTCAATTTTTCATCTATGATGGCATTTTAGAGAACATAATAGCCTTCTCTTGTTCTGTTTTGACATTTATTTATTTATCCATTTATTTATTTATTTATTTATTTATTTATTTATTTATTTATTTAGGTGAGCATATAATCCAGGCTAACCTTGAACTCAGTGTAGCCAAGGACTAAACTCCTGATCCTCCTGTCTATGCCTCTCAAGTACTAAGATGACAGGCATGTAGGCCAGAGGTGTGAGAGGCTACAAGAGCCAGAGAAAAAGGTGCCCACATGGAGGACATAGCAGAGTCCAGAGAAAGCAGGTAGAGAGAAATAGCAGCTGGGAAACAGAACTGTAGAATTTGGAATCAAATTTTGTGGGTGACAGAAGCCATCAGAAACAAATGATCTGTACATGACTTAGAAGACTCAGATCAGCAACTTG